GCAATGACGAGCAGCAAGTTCGCTGCCGACATGGTCAAGGAGAGATTTGATCAAGGAGCAGCACGTTCGGACCCCTCAGACCCCCTTAAAAAAGAAAAAAGAAAAAAGAAAAAAAAACATCCCGCATGGCTCTGCACGGTGTGGTACACGTAGCGCACGTCCCCGCACATTTCTGCACCCGCACAGCCACCCCCCGCATGGATCTGGCCTGTGCGGAGATCGAGCACCTCCCGCACGCCGTACTCCGCACCGCACCGCACGAATGTGCGGCTCGCGCGGTTGCAAGTATGGTACAAACTCAACACAGGAGGGACTACTCTTAAACCACCAGTACTTGGCCCAGCTATTGGCCGTGGAAAAAAATAGAGTAGACACATGTCTAGTCGGATGAATCTGGGCACTCCCGTAGTGGCCCGTACGTTTTTCAATCCCAGCGGCGGCAAGAGAACCACCAGGATCAAGGCTTCGGCTGTTGGGCTGCTCCATCTATTGGTGGGGAGCGGCACCTGCTGGAAACCGGGTCCAGCATCCCGTAGACACATCCACTGAGTTCAATTTCGGGCTATAGCCATCCGTCGTTCGAGTCCAGAGCACCCAGTTCCCCACGGAGCTGCTGATAGACCCATTCCCTTCCCGGGGCTCCTTCTTATCATCTGGCCCAGCCCGCACCTCGAAGTTGCCTGCCATTTTTTCTTGCCCTGAATCTCCCCCTAGCTTGCTAGACCCAAACTACTTCAAGGTGTCCACAGCCCCCCAGTATCTCTGGCAGCCTCCTCCCCGTGAAGGCTGCCTGCGTGTGCTTAACTTTAATCCCTTCTTAAGCTCTTCACTCTTGCACTGTAGGTGATCCTTTCTTTCCTCGTTGTCTTATCAGGGCAGCTGAATTGTGGCTCTGGCTCCCGGCCCCTGTGCTGGGAGGCAGCCAGCTATCCATGCCTTGATTAGGCATCATAATGGACCACTGAGGACGCACCGCTGACTTTAGAAGTACTGGTAGTTTAAGGGGCTAAGTGCACTAGTCGCAGAGCGCCAACAATTTGAAATACCGGGACTACTGCCAGTTTCAGACACATTAAAAAATTTGAAGAGTGGTGCGGCGAGGCCCTAAAGCACATGTACACCACCCACAAAAGAAACTCCAAAAGAGGGTTAAAACTTAAAAACTGAAGCAAACACGACAGTTTCAGCGAAAATTCAACAGTGCAAAGGCTTGCCGGTAATAAACAACGGGACTGACGCCCCCCATAATAGAAGGGATTTTTTTGGGGAAAAAAACAAAGAAAAAGAAAAGGAAAAGAAAAGAAAAAGAAAAGAAAAAGAAAAGAAAAAGAAAAGAAAGAGAAAAGAAAAAGAAAAGAAAAAGAAGAATGCCCCTCGCTAATATTGTCCCATATCTATTCAACTGAAGGTGGGCACTTTGCAAAACAAACGACAAAAATAGACAAGACAAACGTAAAGAGCGAACCAAGTTCGTTCCTTTGCATGTATGTATGCAGTTCTTCCTTTCTTTCCTTCCTGTTGCCTCTTTGATTATTTCTTCTTTTAGCTCCCCCGCCTTGCTATACATCTCACATATCGATGAAGTTGAGTGCAAGCTGCCCGCATCCCCATGTGCCATAATGGCCCCATTGTACTCTGTGAAAAAGAGGCAGAGTAAATGGCGAGGGGTAAACAGAGACACAAGATGAACAGCAGACAAAGCACCAAGCTGCCCTCATCCAGGTCAAGAGGGCAGGGCCGCTGGACCCGGTTTCCAACACCAGTTTTTCCAGCCCGTCTGTCCCTCTGAGGTAACTTGGAAGGGAAAAGGGGGGATGGGTAAAATGCACAGCACTCGTTAATTTTTTTCTTAAGATCGGGCACCGTGTAAAACTGTGAAGAGGGGCAGAGGTAGATACATAGATCTCAGTTTTTTTCAGCATCTCCATTCTCATATATTGGTCCACAGTTTTCATGTATGTAAGGGACGCTGGACTCGGTTTCCATCACGTGATACTCCCCACGAATAGATGGAGCGGCCGGGAACAGGCTTACTTGGGGAGGCTGCTCGTATCACCCCCCCTAGTAGGCCTGCTATGGCATCCAAAAAAAAAAAAAAAAAAAAAAAAAGCTGCCTGCATCCCCATGTGTCATAATGGCCCGATTGCACGCTGTGAAAAAGAGGCAGAGTAAGGGGCGAGGGGATAAACAGAGACACAAGATGGAAAGAGACAAAGCACAAGCTGCCCTCATCCCCATGTGTCATAATGGCCCGATTGTACGCTGTGGAAAAGAGGCAAAGTAAGGGGCGAGGGGCTAAGCAGAGACACAAGATGGAAAGAAGACAAAGCAAAAAAAGTACATCAGATAGGGAGACAAAGGCAAATTAAGGGACAGTTAAGGAGCATGGAGTGACGATGAAAGGATGGGAAAGGATAAGAGAGAAAGCTCAGGAGTCAGTCTGTCCTTAATGATAGAGAGGAGATACATTGTAAGGATGACATGGATGAGGAGATGGCAGACCTAGCTGAGCATTCTCAGTATGACACTTGCCACGACCGGCGGCATTCAGCATGCCCACCAAACACTCTCGACAAATGGCTTGTCGATTGCAGGCCAACACAAATGAAAGAACGGGCACTACAAAAGACCCTGAAGTCATATACCGCCCATGTGGCCAAATGTACAGAGTCTCCGGACATGGAGGGTGCCTGCAGCTAGGAAAGAAGGGACAGTCCTTTACACACATGGATATGGGAACCATGTCGTTATGGTGATCGTATATATGCTGCAAGATGCAAAGTTAAACCACACGGACTCCCACTGCAATCCTGAAGCCCCGGTGCTGCAGGCTGTGGGCCAGGTTGGCCTACCGGCTGTGGGGGGGGGGGGGGGGGGGGGGGGGGGGGGGGGGGGGGGGCAGGTAGAGGCAGCTTGCAAAAGTTGAGCGCACGGACTTCGATGGTTTTTCACACTTGGCAATATTCACAAAAAATGTGAATATTATGAAAAATATATGAAAAAAATAAGATGCACAGATTGAGTGCTGATGTTTTCGGGGGGCGATTTTTGCTCCCAGTGGTGACCACTGGGCCTAAAACTTTTTGGATCCCTGCTGCAAACCGTAGGCCCTATTTCCAGAGCAGGGGACCTGACGGCGGACTGGTGGTGTAAACCACCAGTAGCGTTCTCTGCCGGTTGTGACATAACAATGAATTAACTGCTCGTCTACCTCCGATAAAAAGTTAAATCGCCCATAACCTAAAACACAAGCCTCTACAACCTGGACTCTATCATCTAAAAAAAAGCAAAAAATAAAAAACACGATGTTATACACAGCTTTTGGTCCTGTTTACAAAATTTCCTGCTTCAATTGCAGTATCACTTGAAAAGAAACACGAGTCCTACACTCTCGTTCCCTAGAGTCGGCATCGTTCCTTTAACACCATTGGAATCAGTTGGGGACGTCCTTAGTGTGAGTTATCCCCTCAGAAGTTAGAAGCCGATTTAATTGAGTTACCCCCAATAGCTGAGGAGGGCAATTGCCCAGAGGAAAAGAATAGGTCTAAAAAGAATAGGTCTAATATATTTGAGTTTGACAACATTTCCTGCTTCAATTGCAGTATCACTTTGAAAAACCACAAGTCCTACGCTCTCGTTCCCTAGATTCAGCACCATCCCTTCAACACTATTGGAATCAGTGGGGAAGTGCTTAGTGAGAGTAGTTCCTAAGTAGTAAGAACCCAATTTAATTGGTTTACCGCCGATGACTGAGGAGGGAAAATCTGCCCAGAGGAAAAGGCAACACTACTTGCATGCGCATCTTGGCCATTGTCTTACCTGATCGTCACTGCTGTCACATTGCTCCGTAAAAGAGGCACAATCCTATACTTCAGTACGAACGCATGATGTGCGGCACTTCGCATCTCGGGCAGGACACGTTGCGCACCAGAACATGCACCGGAGTACCCAGCATTACCCTTTTGCTGCCACATCCATTTGCTGAAGCACTCGAGCGTTTCTGAAAAGTTCATTTCGCTGCTGCAGCTCACCTTGCTCACTTAAGACATAGACCCCCCAAAACAAGCAGACTGTCTTTCCCTGTCGCCAATGACAACAAGAAGCATCCCCACATGACCGATGGACATCTTAAGCCACGACTACCTCCGATCCCCTTTTTTGCTGAGGCGGATCCTCCCTGCGCGCCAAGCTTTGCCAAAACACCATGGCGTCCTTCTGGCTGGCGCCACCAGCCCTTTTGATCCGGCAGCACTGTTCATCCCAAGTTTTTTTAAGGTTACAATTTTCGATTCCGGATGTTGCCTCGTAAAGGTAGTCGCAGTTTAACAATGGTGCGACCATGCACGCTCTCTCAACGGTGCGGAGAAACAGCGATCAGCAACTGAGAAGTGGATTGGCAGGACGCCACACCGAACCAGCCTGCCTTCTGTACACCTACCTATTCATCCGTAGTCGAAATGAAGAGTCCAGGGCTCTTTTACACCTTATCTCCATCCCTGGCCATACTTCTGGGAGCTGCAGGTGACAGCAGCGTAGAAATCTCCAGTTGCCGAGGACGCAGAGGCGCTGTTGCAGGTGGTGTGCCAGCATCTGATCTCTGCTGACCAGCCACGGCCTTGGACTTGGCGGTTCTCATCCAACTTGTGACAGCCTGCTCCATCTTGTCACTCAACAATTTCCCACGGAATTCAGAGCCCATTTGCGACACCAGAGCGTATATTGGCAAAATGACGTACGCACAAAGGTGGAGAATCACGATGCAAATAACGAGGGAAAAGGTGATGCGTACAACGGACTTTTTCCTCTCTCCAAGCAGACAGCTATCCAGTCCAAACTTCCACCAGAAGAAAATCAATGACGAGATGTCTATACAGTTGAGGAAGAGGATGTAATGTAGGGCATGCCTCACCAGAGAGGGTTTGGAGAACCAGAACAACTCGTCAGTTGGCCTGGGGTCCATGGCCACGAAGTGCCCAGTGCCTGTGCTACTCTCCCTCGTCAAGGTTCGCATGATGCCCAGGAGATGTGTTCCTACTACAATGAGGAAGAAAACAGATGCGAGCTGGCTCCAGAGGTAAAGGTTGGCACCGCCGACATTGGTGAGAATAACAAGCATGAGAATCACCCACATGGGTACGGAGAGTCCCACAATTTTGGCAAAGTCTTCCTCAAGAGATTGAGTCAAAAACTCGTGGAAGTCAAACTTCAGGGGGAGGTTATGCTTCGATATGAAGAGCAGCCGTAAAGATTGGTAGTTCTCACGGTAAACGGAGCGGAAAAAGAGCATACAGAAGGACGAAAGCCAGAAAGTAGCTGTGGGGCAACAGGCCTTCTCATCGACCGCATACAAGACTGACCTGTGCTCCTTGAGGCCCGCCCAGCGAAGACGCTCTTCCTGAGACATTGCTTCGAGTTCTGCTGCATGCGCCTGGGCATACTCCTCTCGGTTCCTCCACATCCGAATGCGAAGGAAACTCATAACGAACACAATCGACGAGAAAACAACCTGGACGATGGCAAGGATGAAGATGAAGTAGTGCACGTAATGCATGGCGTCGTAAGACATAAAAGGTTCATGCCCCGGCGCACACGTGTCCCCACTAGGAGTGGCTAGCAGATGACGTCCAGCAGGAGTAGTAGGGGCAGAAGTACTCTCAGTATCGCCACCGTAGTATTTGTAGTAAAGTTTCTCAGCCTGCTTTTTTGTGCAGGGCAGCCAATCGAAGTTATCAGCTTTCCGCACACACCGCTTCGCAATGTCGCCCTGGAAGATGGTCAGTATAAGAGAGATGAATCCAAGGAGCATCAACTCGTCTTTCACCACTTCGACTGCCTTGTACAGCCCCTTCTTCTTCCTCTTCTTCATCGACATAGCCAGATGATGAAGACCTTTTTCAAATGCTAGTGAGATCGCGACAAAAACAAACACCACGATTGCGACTCGGTATGTCGGTGTCAACTCCAAATTCTTCGGTTTTGCACCCCCATAATCGCCCGCCATTTCTGCCCGCTTCTCTCTGAGCCTTCAACAGCCAACTCCCTCCCTTCTCCGTCCGCGAGACGCGTGCGACCCTCTCTGTACCTGTGCACCTCTCTACGCCTTGTCTCTGTCTCTCTGCATACACAGCTCTCTCTCCAGCTTTCTACGCCTCTCCCTCTATACACACTCTCATCCGAAGAACATGTAAGAAGGTTTGCACCCCACACACCTCCGCTAATAGCTCAAGATGCTTACCGTTGCTTGAGAGCTCGGCTTACAGATCGCACACAATAGCCCCTAGCTGCTAGTAGATGCTCTCCTCCAAGTGCACTTCCTTCCGCCTCTCTTGCTCCCAAGCTTGGTCGTTTCAGCACTGCGCTGCCACCTCCTCTCGAATGAGTCTTCGCTGGTAACTGCAAAAAGGAGGCCCATATATCGCACATGAGTTCTTGCAAGACGACTCGGAACAACAGTTGCTGGCCTTTTTTTTCTCTCAGAGCAACGTTTACAAACATCAACGGCAGAGGCCCAAACACCCCCATACCTTTGCCCTGTGGACATCTTCTCAAGGACATCCCTCGGTATTCTAACTCCTTTTTCACTTGAGTTTCGAATCATGAGTTATCCAAAAGTTGAAAAAACAGCTATCCACGCGCGATTCACTGCTTTTCACAATGGGACTTCACCATTGGCTGTTGCCATCGGTGAAAACAGCCAGGTATGCCCTGAAAATTTCAATTCGATTTCACTTCGGATTTTGTTCAGACTGGATTTAGGTTCCATTAAAATCCACTTCAATTACTTCTAGGCTACCAACCGGGCCGCCTGGGTCACCTTGTTTGCCCGGGCGGCCCAAGCACGCAAGGACCCAAAATACGTCCTAGCAAAGCAAAGCAAAAAAAAAAAAAAAAAACAGAAAAAACCTGAAAAAAGCAAACGTTATGCAGAAAAATAAATTAAACAACTTTTGCCTCAGGGTCATATATATATATGGTCAAATAGAGCTGCCCGGTAAACCGTCGGCAGAGAGGGAGAAGAGGACAATAAATGAGGGGCTGTGACAAACTGTTTCGTCGGAGTTTCACCGACTCATCAGGAGGCTGAACCCTTTTGACCGGGACAGGCAAGTGGTCCCCGGCCACTCTGGTAGCCTAGAGTGCTGATCGTTTGTAACAATTCCTTCTAAACCTTTTTTGCATTTCCTTATAACACAGATGCAACTGCGAGGACCCTATGCCTTCCCAGCAGACAGCACAGGACCGGTAGGTCCTGCGAGCAGGCCTAAAGCGGTAACTGGTCAGCTGTCAGGGACTGGGTACGGCCTAGCTGTCAGGGACCCGGTTGTGAAACTGGTCAGCTGTCAGGGACTGGGCCCGGCCTAGCTGTCCGGGACCCGGTAGAGCAAGGCCACAACCAAAAGTCTCCAGAAGGCAGTGCATACCAGCTCAAAAGAAGACTGGCAAAAGTAGAACCATCTGCTGCGTGGTCACAGTGAGCTTGACTCCTGCATGTGGGACATGCTAAGAGAGGATGTGGCATTTGTAGCAAGCGTATGCCCAACTCTGCATGTGGGACATGCTAAGAGAGAATGTGGCGGATGATAGCATCGTGGATAGTCCACGCAGTAGAGACACATGCTTTCTATGACAGCTCCTTGGAAACATTGATGACACATGGCATGTTGCTGACATGTCAGCAGGAAGGCAGGCTGATGTTCGCAGCTATTTAAGCATGGCTGATTAAGGCCACTACAGCATATTGGGCAAGCGATTAGGGGGTGCGGGGGATGAAGACAAGACAAAGAGTCGCAGTTTTCGCAACAGAGGCTGGCAGTGACCATCCCTTCATAGTGTTCGGAGCAGAGACTATGCACTGTGCATGCTAACTGAACTGTGGCAGTGTAGCCACATAATGGAAGGGCACAGCCAACATCTTCTAAGGGGGTTCTTTCATTGTTTGGGGCAGAATCTGTCCGATCTACACAGGGAGGGCACACTGCTTGGCCATGTGCAGGGGAAGGAGGTGGATTGTGCATCCGGATTGCCCTCCAGAGACTGAAGTGCTTGCAGGTGTGAAGTAACATACTGTTCCTGACGGACAATTCCAATTTGTGAGTAGTTGCTACTTGGTTATAGAAAAGAGTTAATACTACTTACCGTGTGCACCCTGCCGCCATTGTCCCATACGGCCCATGAATTATCTGCAAAGGTCACAGCACTGAAATGACCTGGACGATGCAGGATGTACGCGCGAGTAGAGTCCATGTCTGGCATGTGGTTCTGGGGAGCAGGCTGCATTTGTGGTCTTCTACCCATAAATGCCATAGACAAGACTTCTATGTTCACTCCAGGACCAGTACTGTCATCCTCTGGGCAGACAGCACGGTGCTCTTCTTCTATCCACCACAAATGGTTAACGGGAACCCCCATTTTCAGGCCCTGGGTAACGAGTCCAAAACTGAAATTAGGGTCTCCGTTAACCTTCTGTCCTATCCAGTGGACAATATTGGCGAAATCAGAAACTGTCTAAGGGTTACAATTGTAAGCAAGGAGACTTACATTGATAGCATAGTACGCACAGTGGCCTCGCTGTAGCACTATGAGATCATCTGATTCTCCTGGTTGTGCAGCAGGGGGCAGTTCATTCAGTTCTGTGGATTGCACGGCAGGCTGAGATTCATTGTGGTCTTGATCGTTTCTGTCAGGTTCCTCAGTTTGTGTCAACTGCATTGGCTCTAGCATATGCCCCGGAGAGAGGTCATCTTCAGTCAAGGGCTACATCAAACGATCAGAAGGCAGGTCATTGACCATTGGGGCCGGGAAGCATGCAAGGTCAGGTAGGGGAGAAAAGGTCAGGTGTGACAGAAATGGGTGGGTCAGATGCAGGGGAGGCTGATCAGCTGGACTTAGGGTGGCTGCCAGTCGTGCAAGAGCTACACAGGCGGCCGCACCCCGTGTCGGATGCACACGCAGGCCCGTAATGCTGAAGAAATCGTTGCCACATTGTTGGCATCGGACTCGATTTATACTGTTCCGGGCTAGTGTGTATTGAGCATGACCTCGTCGTTCTGTACAGTTGCGGGCATGGCGTCGGAGCAGATCTCGAACCCCTGCAGGGGGCGCGGTGATTATGCTGTCCATGGACAAACGAGGTCGCTGTCTTGGAGACAGTTGGAGACGGGGAGCGCCTCCGCCAATGAGGTGTCTGCGATGGCCAACTTAACCGTGGATGCCTTGGACGAAGGGGCCACCGTGATGGCTGATCTGACCAGGAATGTGTTGATGATGAAGATGATGAATTAGGCAAGGTAGAGGAGGAGAGGGGAGATGACGAAGAGGGTAAAGAAGAGGAAGAAGAGAAAGAAGAGGAAGAAGAGGAAGAAGAAGCAGTAGAGGAGGGGTTAGATGACTAGGGGGATAATGTAGACGATGTCGGCGGGGAAGGTGGTGGCGATGGTGATGGGGATGATGATGATGGTGGGGGGGATGCCGGTGGCGATGGTGGTGGGGATGCCGGTGGCGATGGTGGTGGGGATACTGGTGGTGGGGGAGAGGGGGGGAGAAGGTGGTGGTGGTGATGGTGGTGGTGGTGGAGGAGGAGGAGGCGGTGATGGTGGTGGCAGCGGCAGCGATGAAGGAGGTACCCTTTCGGCAGCAATAGCCGCATTGGTAGGATGCTGGCCTTCATCGCCTACAGCCATAATTGGTGTTCATGTGTGTGAGTATGTGTGTGTGTGTGTGTGTGTGTGTGTGTGTGTGTGTGTGTGTGTGTTGTGTGTGTGTGTGTGTGCCACAACAGCCCCTATTCCACCCAAATGAGTAGATTCAAGTTGAGCCAGCCCAACAATTAAAGAATTTCACCTCTTGCGCAAGCAACATGAATCATAATAGAACCATTTAGAACTGTGTTTAGCTGGTGGGGTTTCTTTGGGGCAACAGCTCCTCTTTTACCACGCCTTGCACGTACAAGGCTGCCCACGTTGATTGTGTATGTTGTCATATACGCTATACACTCAAAAAAAGCATGACTGTGCCAGACTGTTCCATCGGACTTTCACCGACTCATCAGGAGGTGGTGGTGTGTGGTGTGTGTGTGTGTGTGTGTGTGTGTGTGTGTGTGTGTGTCTTGAATTGTGCGTGTGTTTTGAATTGTGTGTGACACTGTGTGTGTGTGTGTGTTGTCATGTTCGCTCTATACAACTCCACGAAAAAATGCCTGACTGTGCCAGACTGTATCTGATTCATCAGATTTTCACCGAGCATCGGGATTTTGAACCCCGACAGTCTGCGCAGGATGCATTCTACTGACTGATGGATACGGACGGACTCAATATGTCGCCTAGAGTAAAGGATACCTTTTAGAGGAAACGTGACTTTACTCACACCAACGAACCCTGCAATCCTACCAGACTATTGGTCTGAACCCCTGACAAGAATGGCAGTGTGTTGTAGATAGATTTCCCCCACAACACCCCTTGTCCCACCCAGATGAGTAGATCAAAATTCGATGCAGCTTTGTCTCTATTGCAGACAATGAAGCACATTGAGATGAGCCAATCCATCCAATAATGAAACAGTTTGACCTCTATAGCAAGCAACATGGAGCAGGATAGATTCTTTATATCCTTTCTTGACTATCTTTTCTTTGGCTTTCTTTGGGGTACCCCCCCTTTTTTTTTAACTAAGCTACATTCTTCTCTCAGTTATACCTGCATATGTCTTTCCACCACCCTCCACCAGTGCCAAAGAACCACCAGGTAATCCAAGAAATCTTTCTTTTTACTCCATCCGGGTTGATCCTAACCCCCGTTGAAGGATAGAAGGGACGAAGGGATAGCCCCTACCAAACCAACTGAGGGGAGCGAGCCGACCATCTCAGCTGGTGAACCCTCAGGGTGCTGCAGCAGGCCATGGGGGTCCGAATGGACGGCGTGGGGAATCAGACCCACGAACCTCCTGCATGCAGCTTTCGTGCTCTTCTACCAACTGAGCTACGCCGTACCCCTTTTTTTTTAAAATACTGGAGCTCCCTTTTTATTGTGCATGTCACATACAAGGCTGGCCACGTTCATTGCAGTTGACCTCCAGCTGTCCACACCCCCATGTGCCCCACTTGCACGGTATGAAAGGAAGCAGAGTAAAGGGTGAGGTGTACTCTTGTTCATTTCTTCAGATCGTCCGCTTATATTTCGTCTCTGTTCTCTTAATGATGCCCAAGGTAAATTGTCTGGGTAAATTGTCTGCCTGTGTGGGCTTGGAAGCAGCCATACTTGGACCGAAGGCAGGCACCAAGTGCAGGAAGACATCTGGAGCCTGGAGGAGCTGACAAGAAACCCAAGAAAAGCCTGCCCTGGCATCCATTTACTAGTAGTACACAAGAGGAGGGAGGAAGAAAAGGGGGTAGGAGGCGGACT